TCCACTTCCTCACCTCCTGCTCCTTCCCAGCCCATGGCAAGCCGACTCTTTCCCCGACATGGCCCCCCCAGGTCGCTGGCGGCCCCTGGGTGCTAAATCCACTCTGTTCCCAGATTATTTGCTGTCTCAGCAGCATTTGACCCAGCTGCCCAGGGTGCCTCTCTCCAAACCCAGTGGACCCTGGCTCCTGAGGCCTCTGCTTTCCTGCTCTTCCTCCTAATCCCTGGCTGCTCCTCTTGATCCCCTGCGCTGGCCCCTGTTCCCTCTTCCTCTGCCCTCCCATAAATGTGGGCGCTCCTCTGGGCTCAGCCCTGGGCCCCTTCTCTCCTCCCTGTACATACTCTCCCCCGGGTGCGACTTCCCGGGCATGGGCTGAGGCCACCAAGGCAGGCAGGAAGCCAAGTCCCACTGGCCCTTCCAGGCCGAGGCAGGATGCTGGTCTTCATGCCAAGCGGTTAGCAGGGGCAGGTTTTGAAAGGGAGAGGGGCGGCACGACTAGCTGTGCATTTTGGAAAGATCGCTGGCAGCTCTGCTGGAGCATGGACGGGGGGCCGGTGAGGGCAGAGGTGCACGGAGCATTCACGAGGCCGCGGCAGTGAGCCAGGGAGAGGACGGCAGCCTGGGCCAGGGGGGTGGCTGTGGAGATGTCAGGCAGGGAAAGAACCAGGGAGCGTCTGGAGAGAGGTAAAAACTGGGAGAATTGGAGAACGGCCAGGAGTCGAGGAGGTGGAGGAGCAGGAAATAGAAAAGATGCCTGCTCCGTGTCTGGCTCTCATCGGCGGACCGTGTGTTGCTCGCGGAGATCGGGAAGCTGGAGGAGGCCCAGGTCCGGGCTGAGGAGCACACTGCGTGCTTGAGACTGGCAGAGCCTGCTGCTCCTGCCAGAGCCCTCGCTCGCAGCCTGTGCAGACAGATAGATCCTGGCATCGCCCCTGCAAATGGCGCCCCCTCCTGGGTACCTTTGCTCGACGTGAGACCCAGAGGTCTGGGGAGGGCCAGGGCCACAGCCCAGGTGCACAGACAGGCAGGACTCACCATGCAACGACACAGACGCTGTCACCCACCAGGCAGGAGGCAGGCAGTGAGCAGGGAGGGGTTGCAATGAGCAGAGAGGCTGAGACAGGCGCTTTGGGGCTAGAACGGAGCTGCCTTCTCTGCCACTCAAGGGTCCCGAGAGCAGCTCTGGGCAGCTCCAGGTGTTCCTCGCTTTCCCCAGGGCTGTAGCAGCCCCATCCAAGATGCATTTTTGGAAGTGGTGGGTGTATAAATCCACAGCATTTTGGAATTACATCTCTTAGGATACATTTGACCAAAAACTAGCTGCTTACTTCACTAAACCTGGAGCTCCACGAGAGCAGGGAAGGTAGACTTCAAAAGTGTCAGAAAGCAGCTGGGCGCCCCCGCTCACACCTGTAATCCCAGCACTTTGGGAGGCCAAGGTGGGAGGATTGCTTGAGCCCAGGACAGTCTGGTGAACATAGCAAGACCCCATCTTTATAAAAAATTAAAAAATTAGCTGGGTGTGGTGGCGCGTGCCTATAGTCCCAGTTACTCGGGAGGCTGAGGCAGGAGCATTGCTTGAGCCCAAAAGTTTGAGGCTGCAGTGAGCTATGATCATGTCACCAGGCAATCCAGCCTGGGTGACAGAGCAAGATCCGGTTTCTTTAAAAAAACTGTCAATCTGGGAGGCCAAGGCAGGCGGATTGCTCAAGGTCAGGAGTTCGAAACCAGCCTGAGCAAGGGCAGAACCCCGTCTCTACTATAAATAGAAAGAGGTTAATTGGCCAACTAATATATATAGAAAAAATTAGGCTGGGCGAGGTGGCTCACGCCTGTAATCCTAGCTCTCTGGGAGGCCAAGACGGAAGGATTGCTCAAGCTCAGGTGTTCGAAACCAGCTGAGCAAGAGCGGGACCTCGTCTCTACTATAAATAGAAAGAAATTAATTGGCCAACTAATATATATAGAAAAAATTAGCCGGGCATGGTGGTGCATGCCTGTAGTCCCAGCTACTCGGGAGGCTGAGGCAGGAGGATCGCTTGAGCCCAGGAGTTTGAGGTTGCTGTGAGCTAGGCTGACGCCACGGCACTCACTCTAGCCTGGGCAACAAACAATGAATAAATAAAAGAAAAAAAGAAAGAAAGGAAAATAAGGAAGAGAAAATATGTTTACTATCTGTTACACACAAGTTGCTCACCATGAAGGTCTCATCCTCCCCGTCTTCACAGCCCGCTGGCTGAGGAGGAGGAGGAAGAGGTGGGTCAGGGGTGGCAGAAGGCAGAAGAACATCGCTGTGCAAGTGGACCTGTGCAGCTCAAACCCGGCTTGTTCGAGAGTCGGCTGCATGTGGCTTATTGTCTGAGCCAGGACACCTTTCAGAGTGACACGGGACTCTGGGGCTGCAGCCATAGGCCAGGGCTCGGCCCTGCAAACCAGGTCTTATGGTCACTGTCCCCAAAACCAATGCCAGCAGCACCTCTGCCTCTCCTTCCTGTCCCCACAGTGGGGTCAGGGCCTAAACTGACAAGGCCAGCTGCGGTGGAGCTGGGATCCAAACCTGGCTAGGCGTGTTCCCTGCTCACAGCCACTTGGGCAGAGAGTCAGTGGGGTGCTGCGGGGCCCAGGCGATGAACCCAGTATTGATTAGGAGCCTGTGTCCGAGTAGAGGGGACTGTGCAGATATGTCAATTTTCCTTGATGGAAAAAAGACAGTGTCACTGGAAATGTGTCAGATGTTGGTGGCGCTGCAGCTCGGGGACCCCGAGCGATCGAAGGACAGCTGGTGAGCCAGCAGGAGGTGCCAACCCGAGATGAGGCCAGCCAACAGGGGCTGGGGCAGTCCCTGGCTGGGGCACTCCAGCCGTCCTGGAGACCCGGTGCAGAGGACATGAGCAGGCGTGTGGGGAGAGCACCACGCCGAGGGGCTCCGTTCCAGGCACTGAGATAGGGTCATCTGTCTCACTGAACCCTACAACTCACTGAAACAGCATTGCTAATTAATTGCCGTTTTATAAGTGAAGAGGCCAGGGCCCGGGGGACTGAGGTGACATGCCTAGAATCCCAGACTGGCCTTGCCAGTCTTGGCCCAGTGTAAAGTTGGAACTCCACCAGTGTGGACTGACGGAGGCTGCTGGCTGGTCAGACGGATGGGTGGGTGGGGGTACGGAGGGGGGGATAAACCAGATGGATGGATGGGTTGGTGGTTCCAGGCAGATTACTCAGTGGCTCAAGCTAGAGTTTGAACGCAACCCACCACTGCTGGATCTGATCAAATCTTCAACCCCTTCCAAAAGCTCCCTTCTCATCTCTCTATGAACCTGGGCCCCAGCCCAGGCTCCATAGTCCCATGAAAGGGAAACAAGCTTCCCAAAGCCTCTCTAAGACTCCTCTCTGGGTTTTAGAAATTCTGCACAGGCCTTGTACCATCACCACCCTCCCAATACAGGGACACAACAGTCCCATATCTCCTCTCCCTCCCCACCCCCTCCCTCCCCATCACCAGTTCCAGACTGGAGTATCCCTGGGCTGCCTCCCCTCCTCTCCACCCCTTTCTGTTCCTATCTTAGCTCAGACTCAGCATCTCTCACCTGGACCATTTCATGCCTCTTTTTTTTTTTTTTTTTTTTTTGAGCCAGAGTCTCACTCTGTTGCCCAGGCTAGAGTGCCATGGTGTCAGCCTAGCTCACAGCAACCTCAAACTCCTGGGCTCAAGCAATCCTCCTGCCTCGGCCTCCCGAGTAGCTGGGACTACAGGCATGCGCCACCATGCTATATATTAGTTGGCCAATTAATTTCTTTCTATTTTTAGTAGAGATGGGGTCTCGCTCTTGCTCAGGCTGGTTTTGAACTCCTGACCTCGAGCAATCTGCCCGCCTCGGCCTCCCAGAGTGCTAGGATTACAGGCGTGAGCCACCACGCCCGGCCCATTTCATGCCTCTTATCTGGCCTCTCTGCTTCCAGACTCACTCCCTTTGGTGCATCCTGACCTCGCTCCAGAGGGACCGTCCTAAAATGCAGATCAGGCCCTTCCCGGTCTGCCCAGTGGCTTCACATTCTCTCAGACGCACGTCCTGGACCCGTGCTCGGGCACTGGAGACCTACCACCGTTCAACTCTCTGCAGCCCTCTGAGTGTCCCTCTGATCTTTCCTCCCTCACCGCTCCCGGGGCCCTGGGCTCAAATCCCCAGACAGACCCCATACGCCCAGATGCATGGCAAGGATGCAGGGTGTCTAGGTGGCTCCCCAGGGAGTCCTGTCAAGCCAGGAATGAGCGGAAGGGGACAGAGCCACAGACTCTTTTGGGACCCTGGGAGCAAGGTGCCTGGGTAGCATCAGGGTCTCTCCCTGGACGCAGGGAGTGTCACCATGCCCTTGCTGGGTCATAGTCAGGCCGAATGTCTGCTGGGAGCCTGAGCGCAGACCCCCCTGTGGAGCTGACGATTAGCAATTAACTGGGAGGAATCTCAGGGGTGAGGTTCATGGGGAACAGAGGGAGGGCGGCTAGGGTTCTAGGGACTTTGCCCTTGACCCAGGGGTATAAAGAAGTGGGTCCCGGGCTCCTCCTCAGGGCCCTGAAGTCTTCCCTTGGTCACTGAGCAGAAGCTGGAACGCAGGACCCCAAGGTGAGCTCAGCGTCCCCGCACCCCTACCCCACCCCAGCTCTGCGTGGGAAACGGCCTGTCACCCCAGCCCCTCAGCCCCTGTCCGATCTGCTCCCGTCCCCCTCCTGCCCCCTTCCCGCCCGCTGGCTCCCTCCCCAGAGTGGGAAGACTCATGCTCTTCCAGAGCTTGGAACTGGCCCTGCACAGTCCTCCACCCCAAGGCCCCCTGGGAGGACGAGTGGGGAGGGTGCCGAGCCGACCGGGACAGCCGAGGACCCCAGGGGAGTCAGGGGCCTAAAGCAAGGCCGGGTGGTGTGAGCCTCCTTCACAGAAGGGAGAGAGGCTGTGCAAGGGGGTGGGTGGGGAAAGTTTATTGTGAGGGAACACCGGGATTTGGGATCCAGGCCAGAGAACGCTCCCACCACCAGTGTGTGCCCAGTCGGTCCCACGAGCAGGCAGGTGTCCGTGGCTTCTCTCTGCCTCAGGGAGACAAACCTCCTCCTGCACGGCCAGCCCTGGCCACACCCGTGTTCCCAGTCCCCCCCGCCCCAGGGTGGGCTCCTCAGACCCTGGGGGCCGTGGCTCTCGCCTCTCCGCAGAGTTAACCCTCCTCGAGGTGCATCTCCGCCTGAGTCTCTCTTCCCTGCCCCGAGAGCCCCCGCCCCGCCACCGGGCACTCTGGTGGCACTTCCATCTGCCATTGTGAGCTGACCCCCGTCGCCACCTTCCATCTATTTCGGGGGTTATTTCGTTTCCATCTGCCTCCCCGCCTGAAGGCAAGAGCCGTGCCTGCCTTTAATCACCACTGCATCCCAGCCTGCAGCCCAGAGCCTGGGACGCAGTGGGAGCCAGTGATGCTTGCTGAACGAATGCGTGAACGGCCGAATGCCCAGATCTGCATGGGGCACCTGCGCGTGTGCCTTGGGGGGCGGGTGTTGGGGGGCGAGGTTGCAGGGTGTGCTTTGCTGGGCGTGTGTGGGGTCATGCAGCACGGGGGCTGTGCCCCTGAGCCAGTGTGGGTGCAGGGTGCATGTGCAGGGCAGCAGTTGCGATTCAGCGTTGCCGCGACCCCTGACCCGCAGGCCTCACGGCGGGTGCCCAGGATGATGTCCTACGGAGAGGGGCTGGGGAGCCCCGCCATGTCCCCGCTCCCCGTCCACAGGGGCCACGTGATGCGAGGGGCCGCCTTTGCCTACGTGCCCAGCCCGCCGGGTGAGTGCCGCTCCCATGCACTGGACCTGCTTGCACCCTCGTGGCACTGCTGGCTGTTATAGAGGCGCCGTGAGGCCCCTTCCCCAGCCTCTGGGCCTGCTGACGAGCCCCCCTCCCCAGTCCTGCACAGGATCCCAGGGACCTCTGCCTATGCCTTTCCCAGCCTGGGCCCCGTGGCCCTCGCCGAGCACGGCTGCCCCTGTGGGGAGGCCCCGGAGCGCCGCGACCCGCTGCCTGCCAAGCTGGCCCTGGAGGAGGAGCAGAAGCCAGGTGGGCCTGGGCGGCGGGTGGGCAGCGGGGGCGCCGGCAGTCCCCGCCCCAGCTCCTGCCCGCTGTGCTCATGGCCGGCCCACACTCCAGAGCCGGGGCTGATCCCGAAGCTGCTGCGGGGGGCTGGCGCCACGCTGCTCAAGGTGCCCCTGATGCTCACCTTCCTCTACCTCTTCGTCTGCTCCCTGGACGTGCTCAGCTCGGCCTTCCAGCTGGCTGGAGGTAGGGCCAGGCGGAGGGGCCCGGGGAGGGGTTCCTGAGGGGCCTCGGGCAACACTGGCTCATGCTCCCCAGGGAAGGTGGCCGGCGACATCTTCAAGGACAATGCCATCCTGTCCAACCCGGTGGCGGGGCTGGTGGTGGGGATCCTGGTGACCGTGCTGGTGCAGAGCTCCAGCACCTCCACGTCCATCGTCGTCAGCATGGTCTCCTCTGGCTGTGAGTGGGCCCCCCCCCCCGGGGGGCTGGGAAGGAGCCTCGGCGGGTGGCGCTGGGCAGCACTGGTGGCATCGGGGGTAGCAGTGGGGACGGGGGCTGAGGGCAAAGGGCAGGCCTCCGTCCTCCCGCTCTGTGCCCTGAAGCATGGCCAAGAGTCTCAGCATGAGGGGGGCCCCGGGAGCTGGAAGGGTGGCGAGTGGGGGAGGGGAGCACAGCCCCAGGAAGGTTTGCCCATGAGTGGCCACTCGTCACGCCTGTGTCGGTCAGGGAAGCGAGCCAGGGAAGCCACACCTGTAGCTTACATATATGAGCTATTGCAAGGAACTGGCATGCCCGACCGTGGGTCCAGCTGGCTGGGCAGGGCTGGAATGCAGGAAGGCGGCTGGAGTCCACGCTGCTGTCCACGGGTGGAGTTCTCCTCCTTCAGGGAAGCCTCAGTTCTTTTCTTGCTTTTGGGGACAGAGTCTCGCTTTGTTGCCAGGGCTAGTGTGCCATGGAGTCAGCCTCGCTCACAGCAACCTCAAACTCCCAAGCTCAAGCGATCCTCCCGCCTCAGCCTCCCTAGTAGCTGGGACTACAGGCATGCACCACCATGCCCGGCTCATTTTTTTTTTTTTTTGAGACAGAGTCTCACTTGTTGCCCAGGCTAGAGTGAGTGCCATGGCATCAGCCTAGCTCACAGCAACCTCAAACTCCTGGGCTCAAGGGATCCTCCTGCCTCAGCCTCCCGAGTAGCTGGGACTACAGGCATGCGCCACCATGGCCGGCTAGTTTTTTCTATATATATTAGTTGGCCAATTAATTTCTTTCTATTTATAGTAGAGACGGGGTCTCGCTCTTGCTCAGGCTGGTCTCGAACTCCTGACCTCGAGCAATCCGCCCGCCTCAGCCTGCCAGAGTGCTAGGATTATAGGCGTGAGCCACCGCGCCCGGCCTCCGGCTCATTTTTTATATATATTTTTAGTTGTCCAGATAATTTCTCTCTATTTTTTTTAGTAGAGACAGGGTCTTGCTCTTGGTTGTGCTGGTCTCAAACGCCTGACCTCAAGTGATCCTCCCACCCTACAGGCGTGAGCCACCGCACCCGGCCAGTTCTTTTCTTTTCTAACCTACCTTTGACCAGAACGGAGGGAAGCTTCGGTTCTGCTCAGGAGGCCCACTCAGGTTACTGAGGATAATCTCCTGCACGAAGCCCACAGATTGTGGGTGTGGGTCACCGTAGCCGAGCCAGGCGGACACCTGACACTCACCCTCCCACCACATGAGCGCGAGTGTCCCCGCAAGCACAGGTCTGTGTTTGCACACGGGACACAGGAGCCCTCATGATGCACGCCCACGCACGCGCACGCACACGTTCACACGTGCACACCACGGGCAGTGCGCGTACATCTAGTCACATGTGTGCACACGCACGCAAATGCCAGCGCGTGCCCACGTGGACCTGCGACACCAGGCTGGGCAGCGTCAGCAGCGGGGGGCCGGACGTGGGTAGTGGGCCTGGCGGGGCTGTTGCGGGGCAGGAGCCCCACGGGTGGCCTCCACCCAGGTGGGTGCAGAGTCCTCTCTTCTCCCAGTGCTGGAGGTGAGCTCTGCCATCCCCATCATCATGGGCTCCAACATCGGCACCTCCGTGACCAACACCATCGTGGCCCTGATGCAGGCAGGGGACAGGACTGACTTCCGGCGGTGAGGGGGCTCGGGGGTGGGGGCTGAGCACGGGGGGAGGGGCGGGCAGCCTGGGCGCCAGCAGCCCAGCGTGACTGCAGCCTGGCTCTGGCCTGCCTTGCCACGTGGCTTCCTGCCCAGGGCCTTTGCGGGCGCCACGGTGCACGACTGCTTTAACTGGCTGTCAGTTCTGGTGCTGCTGCCCCTGGAGGCTGCCACGGGCTACCTGCACCACGTCACTGGCCTCGTGGTGGCCTCCTTCAACATCCGTGGTGGGCGCGACGCTCCCGACTTGCTCAAAATCATCACGGAGCCCTTCACAAGGCTCATCATCCAGGTGGTGGCAGGGCCTGGGGGTGGGGGGGCTGGCTGGGTCGTAAGGGGCCCCCTCCCTCACTCACTGCCCCACCCGCACCCTGCCCACAGCTGGACAAGTCTGTGATCGCCGGCATCGCCACTGGGGACGAGTCCCTGAGGAACCACAGCCTCATCCGCATCTGGTGCCAGCCAGACCCCACAGCGGTGAGTCCCAGGCCAGGCCTCCCTCCCCAGACTGTGGGCTCCATGGTCTCTTCGAAATGCTCCGGATAGACCTTGAAGATCATTTAGCCGGGGGAGGGCAGATGCGCGGCTCTTCCATCGCAATGCAGGGCTTGGCCCTCCCGACCTCACACACCGCGGCAGGCAGACTTCACCGGTCGATTAGAGTCGGCCTGTAACGGGTGTGCCCAGAGGTTCTCAGAACGCAGTCTGGGACCAGCCGCATCAGTACCTCCTGGGAGCCTGTTAGACTTCGACCAATCTCCAGGTGTGCCCCACGGTCAGGTTTGAGAACCACTGATCTAACTCAGCCCTCTGGTTTCACAGGTAGGGACACGGGCTCGGAGGGGCTAAAACACTTTCCAGAGCTTGTCTTCTGTGTCAGGGCCTGAGTGCCCAGGGGGGCAGGGGGGGGTTGGTTAGTGACTCAGCTCTGCCATGGTTTGGGGCCCAGGCAATGTGGGGAGGGGGCAGAGAGAGAGAGTGCTACAAGGATACCCAGGAAGGCAGGATGAATAGGAAGGGACAGGTGGGCTAGTTGGAGAACTCCTCAGGAACACGGCAGCCACTCGTGCTGGCACTGGGGCTCCCTTCCTGGAGACTTCCTCAGTGGGAGTCCCTTGCCCTTCTGCACTGCTTCTGCTGCTTCCGACGCCTGGAAGACCTGTCTGGATCGGCTGGACACTCCATGGAGCGGCCTTTCTGCCAGCGCGATTAGCACACTTTCTCGCTCAGCCATAAACAGGAACATGCCTCATCAAGACCGTCATCGGCCGTATTTGCTTCTGCTTGCAAGCACATGTGAGATGTAACTCCACTCAGAGCAGGACGTAAGGGAAGCCAAAGCCCGCAGCACGCGCACAAGCCCTGCCCGCCCCCTTCTGCCTCAACGTTACTAGATTTTATCCTGGTGCAAGCAGAAAACACTCATCTCCCTCTCCCTGCGACACTCCTTTGCACCTGAAGTGGCTCCAGCTCAGCCCTCCGAGTGCTGGAGGCAGCCCGGCATCAAAGGGCCCTGCAGGCAGCTTTCATGCTGGCTCCCTGACCTCTGTAATACATCAGCCGCCTTCTCCGGAGCTCTCTGGGCACTCTCTGAGCTCTCTGAAGCCCCACAAGCCTCTCTGCCTCACAGCAAAATCTGGAAGAGAGAGGAATCACACACTCTGATCTCCACAGAAGACAAGCTGTGGGATAAGAGCTCCAATCCTGCTTCCTGAGGTCCCCGCTGTCCACCGGCCGCAGCCTCAGGCAGGCCCAGCTTGCAGCACACACACCCCCACCCAGCATCATCCCCTCCCGGTGTGGGCAGGGCGGCCACGAGGGCCCCATGTCACGCAGGAGGACCCCGGAGCTCGGTTAGGTAGAGAAACCCACCTAAGCTCGCCTTTCTCCACGGCGGCAGCTGCCAGGGGAGCTGCCTGAGCACCGGCTCTTGCTCCCCTTTACCAGGACACCCCGTCCTCAACAGCAGTGGTGGAGCTGGATTTCCTTGGATGGGAGAGAGGCTGCTGGTGGGATCTGAGCTCCCTGCTCCCCCCTTTCCCTGGGACTGTCCCCCGGGGGAATGTACTCCTACGCGGCGGAAGTGCTTGCTCTTGCGACCCGTCCCGGTGGCTCCTTCACCCCAGGCTCGAGTCTGTCCTTTGGCCCTGGAGCCTCCCTGTGTTCTCTTCCAACCGGTTCCGTCTCCAGCGTTCACCCCAGACGCTCCAGACCGGTCTCCAGGGAGCCTGCGGCCCCAAGGAGACACTGAGAGTCTGAGGCTCTCCAGACGGGGAGGGGAAAACCAGAGGCACTTCCAGAGTCCAAACACTCCTTGACACCCCCAGGGCCTGACACGGGCCTGGGAATTCCCTTCTTACCTGGTCACACTGCGGATTTTCGGCCACACCTGCCTGGCTTAAGCAAGCATGTTTGGAGGACTTGCAACCTGAGAAGTCAGGATGATGCCGTCCCCGCTTTACAGATGGGGACACTGAGCCTCGGACAGGGGCACTGGATTCCCAGGTAGTTGAGGTAGGACGCAAATCCTGGTGGAATCCTGACTCTCGTCTCGGGGCTGCCTCTCGTGGACACCAGTCCTGCGTCCCACATCTATGTCCATTTCCCATTCCGTCCATCAGGCCTGAATGCCGCCAGGTGACCACGGCCCCCCCCAGCCCCTCCATGGGGGTGGCGGGCAGTGTCGCCCTCAGGAGGAGTTCTCCTCTCCACCAACAGATGGCGCTGCCAGCACAGTGCTCTCCGTCTGCTTCCAGAACGGGGGCCCTGCCTAGGTCACCTTCCTCTGCACGGGAAACCGCCGCCAGGCACACATTCTGCGCTTAGTCAGTCACCTCGCCGCCTTCAGCTCCCAGAAGTGCCTCCTTAATTTGGGGTGTCCCTGCAGGCACTTAAATGCCAACCCTCTCCTCCAACCTGCTTCCAGCTGGCCCTGGGGAAAGGCCCACAGCATTGTGGACTTCATGCCCCATGAAGTCCCGGAGAGATTGCGTTGTTCCAGCTGGAAATGGCTCCGCTGGGGTGTGCCCAGCGCCGTCCAAGAGGTCCATTCTTCCTGTTCTTCCCACAGACACCACCCTCTGCCACCCCCCTCCCACTCCCCGACCCCAGCCCAGGCCCAGGCAGAGACGGGCATGCCCTGGGAATATGCCCCAGAGCATCCGGGCTGCAGCCGCGGATGCCTTCTCCTGCTGCCCTACAGGAAAGCCCCAGGGCCTGCTCCCGCCCCTCCGGTCCCTCCCTCTGCCTGGCTTTGCCGTTGACCCCTCTCTGCCCCTCCTGCTGCCTCCACACTCCTCTCTCCTGTGCTTTAGGGCTCTGGGTTCCCCTGTGCACTCAGCCAGGGCACATGACCCCGACAGGAAGGTCAAGTTTACAACCTCCCCCCTGAGGTCTTAGCCCCTAGTCTTGCCCCGCTCTATCTGCCTACCTTAAGCTGGGGACCCCAGCAAAGTTCCTCATTCTCCTCCAGCCTCCCCCAGGTCCGAGTCCCCTGGGAGCTCAATGGGCACAGGTTTGCCAGGCCCCCACTCATCTCAGGGTGATCTGCTTCCCAGGGCTTCAGGCCGGGGTGGCCCAGAAAGGGCCACCAGGCTCCTCCCCAACGAGGGCATCCGAGGAGCCGCTGGGCCTGACCTAGGGAGTCAAGCACACACACAGTTTCCACCATGCGACCCTGAACCCGCCCAGGGAGAGGCAGGGTCTGTTCTTTACTCGCAGACCCAGTTTACTGAGGCTTGTCATGGGCAAGCCCTGCGGCAAGCACTTCTCAAACTCTTTCTCCTGCCACTTCACAGCGTGCTTTTCCTAGCCTGCTTCAGAGGCGGCATGGCTTACCCCAGGGTAGGCGGTATAAGAAGCAGGATTTGAACTCAGACCTGCCTGATAGCAAACACCTGGGTCTCTCTTATCAGCATGGTAGTTATCACTGCTCTCCCCACTTGGTTTTCTGGTCTAGGCCCATCAGAGGCTAGCTTTTCCTGGCTTGTTGGCCTGCAGTTCAGGCCCAGGCTCGATGGGGCTGCAAGGTGCTGAGGGTGAACTGGGAACGCAGACGAGCACGTTGCCCCCTCCGGAGGGCACATGCTGCTAAAATAATCCCCGATGTTAAAACCAGATGCCACAAACAGTTCTTACCTCTACCAGGCATTTTTAAAATGATGCACAGGCCGGGCGCGGTGGCTCACGCCTGTAATCCTAGCACTCTGTGAGGCCGAGGCGCGGGCGGATTGCCCGAGGTCAGGAGTTCGAAACCAGCCTGAGCAAGAGCGAGACCTCGTCTCTACTATAAATAGAAAGAAACTAATTGGCTAACTAATATATACATACAAAAAATTAGCCGGGCATGGTGGTGCATGCCTGTAGTCCCAGCTACGTGGGAGGCTGAGGCAGGAGGATTGCTTGAGCCCAGGAGTTTGAGGTTGCTGTGAGCTAGGCTGACGCCACGGGAACTCATTCTAGCCTGGGCAACATAGTGAGACTCTGTCTCAAAAAAAATAAAAACAATAAAATGATGCACAATTTAGAACAAAACCTAGGCCAGGAGTGGTGGCTCACGCCTGTGGTCCTAGCACTCTGGGAGGCCGAGGCGGGAGGATCGCTCAAGGTCAGCAGTTCAAGACCAGCCTGAGCAAGAGAAAGACCCCTGTCTCCACTAAAAATAGAAATAAATTAATTGGCCAACTAAATATATATAGAAAACATTAGCCAGGCATGGTGGCCCATGCCTGTAGTCCCAGCTACTTGGGAGGCTGAGGCAGGAGGATTGCTTTAACCCAGGAGTCTGAGGTTGCTGTGAGCTAGGCTGACGCCATGGCACTCTAGCCCAGGCAACACAGTGAGACGCTGTCTCAGAAAAACAAAACAAAACCTAAAGGAGCTACAAACACCAAAGAGCCAACACCCTACCTGAGTCCCACCCTCAGCACTGGAAGAGGTCAGTGGGGTCTGGGACGTGGAGCTCCCGGGGGAAGTGGGAGTGGGGCGAGGGCCAGCCCAGCTCCCAGGAGAGGCAGAACGTGGAAACAGAAGTAGCTCCTGCGCTTTGCTGCGGGTCTGGCAGGTCTGGCAGCCCCTGCTGAGTGAGCGGGGGTCCTGGGAGTCCCTGCTCCTTTCTGAGGCTCGTTCCCTGGGCTTCTCCCCACCCAAGCCCGACCCGCTTTCTCCTATCACTGCTGGGAGGTTGCTCAGGTCCCGGGAGAACGAATGGGTAAGGGGCCCTGGATTGCATTTTTAAAAAATAACTACCGCTTAACCCAACAAGGCCACAGTCTCATGGTCTACAGGACAGACGGGACACTTCTGCTGGCCTTCACTGAATTGCAAAGCGTGTCTCAGAGCGGTTGCCAACATTGACAGATTGGGACATTTTATCGAAGACTTCACAGTTGTGGTTCCTCTCCTAGAATTGGGCGATTTGGCCGTGCTGGGCCGTGTGCCTGGATACTGACAGTGGCCGGGAGCTGAGTAGCTGCTGCCCCATGGGCACGGCACACACTCTCCCCGCCTCCTCCTTAGGGGACTTGCCAAGCCCTGTGGCCCTCCGAATTGCAGGGTCTCCCTGGGGAGCCCCCTGACTCCACTGACAGTAGGGAGGGGAAGGGGGTGAGGGCCCGACCCCCACCTGATCCCCTCTGGGTGAGGAACGGAGCAAGAGGAGGATGGAGCTCGGGCTCAGGCAAGGGGCTGGGGCCAGGAGCCTGGGGAAGGGGCACCAAGGCAGTGACCAGTTATAAAAGACGGGGAGGAGAGTCTTCAAAGACAACCTAGGTCAGCAGCATCCAATGCCACTCAGGGGCATTGGAGGCTGAGAAGAAGCTATTGGGCGTGGCCCTGGGGAGAACCAGGTCAAGGGAGTGAGGGGTGGGGTACACAGAGGGCTACCATGGCCTGTCCACAGCCACAGAGTTAAGAGGCCCATCTCCATCTGCCATCCCTCCCTTAACCCATTGCAGCCTCCACCCAAGGCTCCATTTTCCTAAATTAACTGAGTCACCTTCCTCTTAATCTAGGCTCCCACCTCCACGTCCAGGCTAGAAGCCAACACCAGCCAGACCCTTGGTAATGCCACCATGGAGAAATGTAAGTGCTGCACCATGGGAGGTGTCCCGCATGGCAGGGGGCAGAGCCTGGTGGCGGCTGGGCCATCCCCCACCCAGCCAGCGCTACGTCCAGCCCCAGGAAGGACGGCTGTCAAACAGCCCAGCTCCCGGGCTTGGGCCCGGCCCTGGTGTTGGGGCTGGAGGAGCCTGAGGGGGGCCTGGGAGCCAGGTGCAGGGCAGCCCTCAGCAGCTGACACCACCCGCTTGCAGGCAACCACCTCTTCGTGGACACGGGGCTGCCCGACCTGGCCGTGGGGCTCATCCTGCTGGCCGGCTCCCTGGTGCTCCTGTGCACCTGCCTCATCCTCCTCGTCAAGACGCTCAACTCCCTGCTCAAGGGCCCGGTGGCCAAGGTCATCCAGAAGGTTATCAACACCGGTGAGCTACGCACAGTGGCCGGGCAGGCGCGGGATGGGGCAGGGCCCAGGATGGGCCCTTCCAGATCCCGCTATGCCCTGCCACTGCCTTGATGTGGCCTCAGTTTCCCCTTGTGAACAAAGAAGGTGATTTCTGAAGCCGCTGAGGGGCTGGCAGACCTGGGGCTGCCCCCGGCCATGGCTGGACTGTAGCAGGCGGAGCCGCTCAGAGGCCGTATGGGATTTAGTCAACAAGTCGTCATTAAGTGCTTGCTGTGTGCCAAGTGCCAGGGACGCACACAGAGGCCACGCAGATAGAGGCGATCCTGCTCTCAGGGGCTCACAGCCCCGCAGGGGGAACAATTCAGAGGAAGAGAGGCAATTGCCAAGGGGACAGCAAAGGTAGAGTGTGGAAGAGGGGGCAGAGGCCCCTCTGAGGAGGAGGAGCTGAGACGGGGACGAAGAGCATTCCGGGTGGGTGGGTGTTGGGAGCAGCCAGTGCAAAGGCTCACAGGCAGGTGTGCGGCCCAGAAAGGTGGCACCAGCAAGGGGACAGGGATGCGGCCAGGGCTTGGGGCCTCCAGGCTCTGCTCAGAGCCTGAGGTTTTAGAGGGTGATGGAGAAGCTCGGAGGGCTTGGGGCAGGGGAGCGACAACATCTGCTTTTCATCTTCAACTCCACTTTGGGCTTCTGGGACACTGGCAGGCACCGGGACAGGCGTCATGACAAATGCTGGCACAAGGGGCACATCCACCGACTGGGGAAGCTCAGGGAAGGGAAAAACGAAGTCCTGCAGAGGGCTGGGGGCCAGGGAGGGCTTTCCAGTGACAGCCACGCTGAGGCTGGGAATGAACACGTAGGTGCCTCGCAGGCTGCCCCAGGCAGAGGGAGCGGCCAGAGCAAAGGCACAGTAGCCTGGTGGGACCAGCGACAGAAGGCTTTCGTCCAAGGTCAAAGAGGGCAGCGGAAGCCACTGCGGTTGAGCAGGGGGCTGGCGAGGTCCTGGTGGGAAACTGCATCTAAGGGTCCCCTCCCCAAGGAGCCCTGCTCTCCCAACACCCCCGCTGACCCAGGCCCGCCGGGACGGGGTTTCCTTGCAGACTTCCCTGCCCCCTTCACCTGGGCCACGGGCTACTTCGCCATGGTGGTGGGCGCCGGCATGACCTTTGTGGTCCAGAGCAGCTCTGTGTTCACCTCGGCCATCACCCCGCTCATCGGTGAGCAGGGGCGGGTGGGGTTGGGCCGGGGCAAAGCTGGCAAGGAAAGGGCCGAAGGAGGTAGCCAGGGAGGCGAACGTCCTGTCCCTCTGTCCCCCAGGCCTGGGCGTGATCAGCATCGAGCGGGCCTACCCCCTCACGCTGGGCTCCAACATTGGCACCACCACCACCGCCATCCTGGCCGCCCTGGCCAGCCCCAGGGAGAAGCTGTCCAGCTCGTTCCAGGTGCGTCCGGGAGCCCAGCCCTGCCTGGCGCGGGAAGGGGCTGGGACTGGCACGTGGGGCCTGACCAAGGGGGTGACAACACGTCACAGACATTTGTTGGCTGTCTACCAAGGGCAACCCGCCATGCTCTATGCACACCACTGTGGGCAAGCAGACCTGATACCAGCCTCAGGCCTCAGCGTCCAGCAGGGAGGCGGTGCCCACACACGGGCAAACGCGGCGTGGAGGCGCTCCACGCGGAAGGGGTGCTTAAGAGGGGCCTGGCCCAGTCCAAGGACCAAGGATGAGTGGAGCGGGGTGGGGGCAGACAGCAAAGGGGGGTGGTTCTAGGAGCTAGGGAGGAGCTGACAGGCCGGGGCACTGGCCAAGCAAGAGGGCAGAGCTGCTGTGCGGAGCCTGGCAGCAGCCTTCAGCCGTGGCCACTCCCGAGACAGGAGTCCACGGGGAACGTGGAGAGCTCAGGGCGGCAGTTATTTACCAACTGGTCCAGAAATATTTCAATATTTTAACAACTAGCACAGCCCCCCCAGGGTGATCTGGGGGCAAATCAGCCCTAACTGGCAATTTTCCTGCTGCCCAGACCAGGCTGGGCCCCAGCACCCACCACCCCTGCTGGCCTGACTCAGGGGCTCGAGGCCCATGCCCACCTCAGCCCCTCCGCCCCTCCCCTGCAGATTGCCCTCTGCCACTTCTTCTTCAACATCTCGGGCATCCTTCTGTGGTACCCAGTGCCCTGCACGCGCCTGCCCATCCGCATGGCCAAGGCGCTGGGCAAACGCACCGCCAAGTACCGCTGGTTTGCCGTCCTCTACCTCCTCGTGTGCTTCCTGCTGCTGCCCTCGCTGGTGTTCGGCATCTCCATGGCCGGCTGGCAGGCCATGGTGGGCGTAGGCGCACCCTTTGGGGCCCTGCTGGCCTTCGTGGTGCTTGTCAGTGTCCTGCAGAGCCGGAGCCCCTCGCGCCTGCCCAAGTGGCTGCAGACGTGGGACTTCCTGCCCCGCTGGATGCACTCCCTGCAGCCCCTGGACCGCCTCATCACCCGTGCCACCTTGTGCTATGCCAGGCCCGAGCCCCGCTCGCCGTCGCTGCCCGCCAGGGTCTTTCTGGAGGAGCTGCCCCCTGCCACGCCCTCCCCCCGCCTGGCACTGCCTGCCCGCCACAGTGCCACCTACCTCTAGGTCCACACCGCTGCCTGGAGCAGGGAGGGCCTGCCCATGGAGCCCAGGACAAAAGGGCGGAGGGGGGCGTGTGAGCATGTGTCTGTGCCACCCTGGGTGCCAGTCTGACCTTACGCAGGTCCACAGAGGTCTGGGCATGCATGCATGCGTGGGCACGTGCAAGGGTGAGTCTCTGTGTCTACGCGTCCATGTGTAGAAGCTGGCATTTGTGTACACGTGTGTGCCAGCCTCTGTGCACAAGCACACCTAGGGGAGGCTGTGTGCAGGGTGCAGGGTATCGGGGCAGGATTCTGGACCCTTTGCACCTGTGCGTGGAGGCCTGTGCCATGTCCTCGTGCACAGGAGTGGGGGCGGGTCTGAGCGTGTGGCTGTGCAGCTGTGTGCTTGTGCAGACACAGGTGCCTGAGCCACCTCCCTGCCACCTTCCTTTCTTCACGACACCTCCTCATCGTCACCCAGGCCTTCAGCAGCACCACCACAGCCCCTTCCCAACACTGCCTGATGAAAAAAAAAAGGAATTAAACTCTCCTCATGCATTTGGAAGTCTTTTTGCTCTCCGTCGGCAAGAGCAAGGCTTGGGGCCCGGCAGCACTGCCACCCCTCAAAGACCTGCTGCAGCAGCAGCCCCTGCTGGCCACACACACTCCGGGGGAAGCCAGCCCTGCAACCCCACCCCCAAAATCTACCTGGCCTTGGTGAGCCCAGCCACAATTCAAACTCCCCAGAAGCCCTTCCTAGGCTAGGCTTCCTAGGCTAGCCCTTCCTAGGCTCCCTACTACTAAGGAGGACTCTCTGCACCCCCACCCCCTGACCCCCAACCAGGCTGGGCCTCCTCTGGTCTCCCTCCACCCTCACCCACCTTAGCCACACGTTCGCTCCCCCTTGCTGAGAGATAAAATCAGGGATCCGGGATGAGTGACAGGTGGGGTGTGTTAGGGCCACTGGGCCGGGCACAGGGAGAGTGCAGGTGAGCAAGAGAGGCCGTGCCCTGGGCCCCACGACATAGGGGCAGGGACAAGACACACTCCCTCCCATGTTTACCCTCTGCCTTTGGCAGTAAGCCAGGACTCACTGAAGCCCACCCAAGCTTTTCCATGCCTCCTCCGTAAGGCACCCCGGAGCTGAGGCCTGCAGAGTGAGGGTCAAGGGTAGGGAAGCCCAAGTTCCTCTCTCCAGCCTAGGGGCTCCTTTGGAGCCTGCGGGCCCCAAGGCGGCAGGAAGGCAAAGGCAGGTAGTAGGGCCCCAGCCCGGGCTGTGACCATCTTGGACAGGTGCCCTCGCAGTGGGCCCCCCTGAGGTACGTTGAGGGCAGTTGCAGGGGCCTGGGAGCCCCAGAGCTGTTCTCCCAGCTGGCGGCCGCACCCTGTCGCCCACTCACACCCCTAGCCAGGTAAGGGACACACCGGACTCCAGCCGGACTCCAGCCTGACTCCCTGACCCCACAGGCTCCGGCTGCTGTGCGCCTGGAGAGGCGCTAGCAGGACGGCGAGGGGCTCTCTTTACTGTTGGTCCTGCCCAAACGTGAGAGAAAGGACGCTAAGGCCTGCGGGAGTTTGAGCAGGCCCCGCCCTTGGGCTCTCCCTCGCCACCGCAGAGTCCCCAGGACCCTGGCAGGGCGCCTAGGACCAGCAAGCCGGGCAGAGGCTGGCCGTCGCCAGGCTGCGCAGCCTCTGTCCTCACAATCGCGCCCCCACCGCGTCACCCTTCCGCAAAGCCCTTCCCATAAACCAGGCTCCTCATTTACCACTGCCCGCGCGAGACCAGAGGACGAGCCAGGCGCGTCCAAGTCGCGCTTTTTATTCCCGCCGCCTGCGCCCAGGGCGGCCCCGGGGCTGCGCTAGGCGCCCTGCGTGCGCAGCCCGCGGATCAGCTCGTGCACCGTCTTGTTGAGCACGCCGCCGTGCACGCCGCGCCGGCCCATGAGCACGAGCAGCGCGCGCGGCGAGTGGCCCACGCAGACGGCGCGCCCGTCCAGCCCCTTGGTGCGCGCGTCCAGCACGCCGTCGCCCTCGGCCAGCAGGTGGTCGCGGATGACGCAGCAGCGGCGGCCCGCCACGCTCAGGCCGGCCTGCAGGAAGGTGCGCCGGTCCGGCCCGGTGAGCACGCCCACCTCCTGCGGCGAGATGGCCGCCAGCAGCCCGCCGGGCCGCGACGCCCACACGCAGCGGTTGTCCGCGTGGCCCACGATGGCCACGTCGTCGATTCGCTGGTCCCGCAGCACCGCGCTGATGTAGCCTTTCCAGTCGCCCATCCCGCTCGGGGTGCGTGCGCCCTCGGCCTGGCGCTGCTGCTGCGAACGGGTGTCCCGCAGCTGGCCGCGCCTGCGGGGCTACCACCGCGTGCGCAGGGGCGGGGCTGTGACGCGACGCGCCCACGACACAGAGCCGCCTAGGCTGGAGAACGCGGGGACGTTCGCGGGGCACGCCTGCAGAAGTTCCAACGTCAGGCCGTAGGAGAGAATTATCAGGTCCTCCAAAACCAATTTAAGGCAGGGTGCGGTGGCTCCCCCCCCCTGTAATCCCGGCACTCCGGGAGGCCGAGGCTGCAGCGTCATCGCTTGAGCTCAGGAGTTCCAGGCTCAGCAAGAGCCAGACCCTGTCTCTGCTAAAAACAGAAAGAAATTAGCTGGACAACTAAAACAAGAAAAAAATTAGCCGGGCATGGTGGCGCATGCCTGTAGTCCCAGCTACTCGGGAGGCTGAGGCAGGAGGACCACTTGAGTTTGAGGTTGCTGTGAGCTATAGGTTGACACCATGGCACTCTACTCAGGACAACATAGTGAGACTCTGTCTCAAAAAAAAGAAAAAAAAAAGAAAAGAAACTGAAATGGACCATTAAAAAGATGGGTTAAGAGCCAGGCATGGTGGCTCACACCAGTAATCCTAGCACTCTGGGAGGCCAAGGCCAGAGGATCGCTCAAGGTCAGGAGTTCAAAACCAGCCTGAGCAAGAGGGAGACCCCGTCTCTACTAAAAATAGAAGAAATTAATTGGCCAACTAAAAATATATAGAAAAAATTAGCCGGGCACGGTGGCACATGCCTGTAATCCCAGCTACTCGGAAGGCTGAGGCAGGAGGACTGCTTGAGCCCAGGAGTTTGAGGTTGCTGTGAGCTAGGCTGACACCACGACACTCAACTCTAGCCCAGGTAACAGAGTGAGACACTGTCTCAAAAAAAAAAAAAAAAAAGTGCTCACACCTGTAATCCTAGCAGTCTGGGAGGCCGAGGCGGGCAGATTGCTCGAGGTCAGGAGTTCAAAACCAGCCTGAGCAAGAGCGAGACCCCCCTCTCTACTATAAATAGAAAGAAAAACTAATTGGCCAACTAATATGTATAGAAAAAATTAGCCAGGCACAGCTATTCGGGAGGCTGAGGCAGGAGGATCGCTTGAGCCCAGGAGTTGGAGGTTGCTGTGAGCTAGGCTGACGCCACGGCACTCACTCTAGCCCATCTAACAGAGTGAGACACTCTCTCAAAAAAAAAAAAAAAAAGATGTGTTAAGAACAAAAAGATGCCATGTCTGGACAGCTGGACCCCTCCACCTGTAAGGGAACCGTTCAACCCCAGACTGTAGTTCTCCAAAGTTACAGCGCATTAGAACCCACTGAAATCTGGGCTGTTAAACACATTGCTGCCAGACTTGCTGTTTTAGTAGTATGAGGTCTAGCCCAAGAATCTGTATTGTCTAGCAAGCTCCCTGGGACTTTGAGACCCACTGGCCTAGTGCCTTTGGGATGGGGTCGCTGGTGTTCCAAGTCACCAGCCTTCAGGGCCCATACCACTGTTTCCATGTTAAGCATTTCTAACTATGCATCTCTCAACCTTGGATGCACTTGGAATTATCTGGGGAGTTTAAAAAACATACCAGGACCCACGCCCCATTCCTAGAGATAACTGGTTTAATTGGCCTGAGGCGGGTCTTGGGCATACATAGGCTCAAAAAGCTCTCTAGATGATCCCAAGGTATAGTCAAGACTGAGAACTGTTGCTCTGTAAACTTACGTGTGAATTTCTTGTGAAAAATAATATGGGGAGTCACCCTGCACAGTGCTGCTTACAGCGAGCCTCCGTATGTAAACTTTAGCTGGACAGGAATCTGCATCTTGCATGTTGCGATCGAGTAGATCTTGTTCTCTGAGAGCTGAGAAGCTGTTGTGCCAGCTTCTGTCTTGGCGTTTCCCGACAGGGCCCACGAAGAGCTCTCTTGGCATTTTTAGTTTGTTTTTTGAGACAGGGTCTCCTTTCCTTACGCACGCTAGAGGGCAGCGGGCAGCCTCTCAGTATTATCAAAGCGCTTTATTGAGTTTCCGGGCTGTGCCTGGTGCCAGGCTGGTGGCTCGGTGCTGGTGGGGGGGGGGGATGGAATGGGACACAATTTTTGCCGTCCATGATCACCCTGGTCACTATCCCATTCTGGAATTACCGAGGGGGATAAGACGAGTCCCTGGACAATCAGGAAGCGGTGTGCTCTTGGATCCAAGCCAGGTAGTTTGCCACGTCGGTGTAGACGCCTGGCTTGTTGCGGTCACCACAGCCGGAGCCCCAGCTGACGATGCCTCGCAGAGTGAGCCGTTGCTCAGCGGCCTCGTCCTCACACACCAGCGGGCCTCCAGAGTCACCCTGGGTGGGAAACACGCGGCTCCTTGTCCTCGGCCTGGGGTCTGTGCCTGGCAAGCTTGGGGGAGGACGCCAGCCCGAGCTAAGGCCTCACCTGGCACGCATCGGTGCCGCCCTCGAGGAAGCCGGCACAGAGCATGCCAGGGAGGACGGCGGCCCCGTGCACGTCGGGGGCGGAGCAGCGCTCCAGGGAGATGAAGGGCACCTGCGCCTCTTGCAGGAAGCTGGAATATTCCTCCGCCCCTGCGAACCGGGAGCACCTTGCTCACAACCCTCCCGACGGCGCGGACGCTCGCCGCCCGGGCAATGTGCCGTCGAGGCCGCGCCAGGCGCTTCCAGACCCACGCGTGTCCTTGCTCTCCAGCAAGCCCGAGAGAGAGGGAGTGGCCGCGTTCCGCTGGGCGGAGCGGAAGCGGGAGCCCCACTCCCACCTCCCGCCAGGTGTCTCAGAACCTGGCTCCCAAAGAGCCCGCGGGCTGCTCGAGCGCGGGCCGCTATCCCAGTCAGCCCTTGCAGGCCAGCGCCCAGAGGGAGCCAAGGGAAACTGCGGTTCTCCCTGCACCCCCAGAGACTGGGGGCCCAGCAGTGAATCCCAGGCCTCGGGAGGAGCAGACCGTGGAGACAAGGGCCCTACACGTTCTCACAACCCATGGTGTCCGCGCGCGCGGCCTCTCCTGGAGCCACCCTGGAGGATTCCAAAGCCGGGGCTTCTGCGGCCTCCCCCGGTGGCTAAAGGTCTCCCCGGCCCCCGCTGCTGTGCCTACCCTCGAACTGGTGGCCCCAGCCGGCCACCTGGCAGAGCGCGGCCTGGAGCTCGGCCTGCGGGGCGGCGCCGCTGGGCAAGCACACCGGCTGGACGTAGTCCGACGGGAGCGCGCAGCTGCCGTCCGCACTCTCTTGCAGGCGCAGCAGAGCTAGCCGGGCAGAGAGCCGCGTGAGGCAGGGACGCCGGCCCGAGCCCTTCCCAGCCTGCGTCCCCTCCCCCGCGGGGGCGCACGCACGCACCCAGGTCGTGCTGGTAGCTGACGGGCGAGAAGGCCTCGTGCAGGCGGTAGGAGCGCACGGCCAGCGTCTGGCACTGCTTGCAGCTCTGGTTGTGGCGGTCCTGGCCGAGTACCACCGTCAGCTCCTCGGCCGCCGGCCTGCGGGCGGGGTGCGGGGCAGGCAGCGCGCTCGGTGCCCGCTGCGAGCTCTGGGGAGGGGGGGGCGCGGGGGGGAGATTCCTGCGCTCCGGGGAGCTCGGGAGGGGCGGGGGGAGGTGGGGCGCGAGCTCGGAGGGGAGGGGAGCTGGGGTCCCGGGAGGGTGCTGGGCGGGTGGGTACTCGCCGGTCCTGCAGGCAGTGGGCCGCGGTCAGCACCCAGCAGGGCCCAATGAGGCTGCCGGCGCAGAAACGCTGGCCCCAGTACAGCGCGGCGATGTAAGGGTGCGCCCCGGGCAGCGCCACCAGTCCGCCGACGACGCGGCTCAGCGAGGACAGCCGCTTCCGGAGCCTCTTTCCGCAGCCGAGCTGGCCGGTCCCGGCCGGGGGGCTCCGCTGCTCCAGCTTCGGGAGCAGGGCTGTAGGAGGAGCCTAGGCTGAGGACAGGGAACCCCACCGCCCGGTGGCTGGAATCGAGCTCGCCCCGCGCCCTCTCCGCTGACTCCCCGCCTCTTCCTAACGACCTGGGGTCTGGGACTGGGGCTGCGTCTGGGTCGTGGGCTGAGGCTTCTGCAACAACGGCGGGTGCTGCGGGGGCGAGGGCGGGGGCTGCGGGGGCGAGGGCAGGTCCTGACGCCCCGCGGGGACCCGGAGCGGGGGCGCCGCCTGGACTGGGGGCTGGCACCGTGCCAGGTCGCAATACTCCCAGCTCAACCGGTCGCCGCTCCACACAAAGCACCATGGGCGGGTGTCATTGTCCGGGTTCCTGTAACCGCAAGGGGGGCGCAGATGAGAGCGCCGGAGCCCCAGAGCGCGGCCGGGCGGAGGGCACGCGCCTGCCCGCCCCACCCGGTTTTGCGCACCGGCAAAAGGGGTGGCCGCCCAGTCCCCACTTCAGCGCTTGCTCGGCAGTCACGTTCCGGTAGGTGGTCTCGGAGGCCCACGGCTGGCACGGCGCTCCCGAGAGCGTGGTCTGGGCCATGCCGCGGTAGCTGAGCCCGCGACCGTCGCGGCAGCGCGCCTCGGTGTCTGGGGAGAGAGGAGGCTCCCTGCAGCCAGCGCAGGGCTCCCAGGCCGCTCGGCCCGCCGCCTTCCCCTTCGTGGCGAGCACTTCCCGCGTGGCGGCTGGCCCTCTGCCTCCCCTGGGACCCTCACTCACCCACGTCGCAGAAGGGCCCGGCGTAGCCCTCGGGGCACTGGCACAGGCGGAGGCCCTCCGCCTCTAGGCAGCGGCCCCGGTTGAGGCACGGGTTGGCGCGGCAGGCTGGGAGAACAGCGCGCTGAGCCTAAAGACTCCGCGGGGAGCTCCACTCCCACCAACGCTCCACCTGCCCCCCTGCCCCGCTCTGACCTTCAGCCCTCCTCCCTGGCCAGTTCCCAGCCGACGCCGCGCTCACCCCGGCTGGCCACCGGCTTGCAGTGGGCATCCGGACCTCTGCACCGGCATTTGGCCACGCCCGGCGGCTCCACTCTGTACCACATCTCGTCCTCGTGGAAGAACTGGAGAAGTTGAGGCTCAAAACACTTTTCTGGGGACAAAGATGGCCAGTGGTCTCAGGAGAGCCCTGGACCTTGCCAAGTCTCCAGGGATCTGGGGACCACTTCCCTAGGTCCAGGGTGACCGCTGTCCCCAGCACCCCTTCCCCAACCCTTAGCACCTCCTCACCTCTCTGGCAGTGCCTCCCGGTGAGGTGCTCTGGGCAGAGGCAGTGCGGGCCGGTCAGCGTGTTCACACAGGTCCCTCCCTTCTGGCAGG